TGGCTGCAGAGAGGTTGCAGGAAAACCATGGCAGCACTCCATCCTGCAGACTCTGCAGAGGACTGAAGGGAAAGAAGGGAAGGGACAGATTTAAGGCAAATTCATTGAGGAAAACCTTGGGCATTTGAAAACATGTCCTCTGGAAAACTTGAACATGAGTGTTTATGACATCTTTATTCATAAGTGCCAAATATTGAAAACAACCGAGACATTCTTCAATGGTGTTTATCCATGAAATAAAATGTCCATAAAAGGAAATATTTTGAGCAATAAAAATAACTCATCAAGCCACAAAATAACATCAGAAGAATCGTAAATGCATATGATAAGTATCAAAAGCCAACATGAAAAAGTTACATCCTCTGTGACTTCAATTACATGACATTTTGGAAAAGGAAAAACAATACTAACAGTTGGAAAGGCAAAACTGCAGTTATAGCCCAGAGTTCAAGATGGTGAGAAGAAGATTGATTAGTTAGAGTACAGGGAAATATTTCAAGTGGTAAAATTGTTCTGTGTGGTACTCTAATAATCAACATAAATGACATTCTACATTTGTCAAAACTTAATTTTTTTAGCAAAAAGAGAAGACCTTGTTGCATTCAAAGTTTTTCTTTTTATTGAAAGGTTTTTTGCTATAGGACACATGTGCTCGCCAGAAAGGCAGAGAGAGACAGAGAGACAGAAAGTGAAAAATCACCCCCCAAGGGTGATGGCCATGCCACAATCCCTTCCCCTCCATTCTCCTCTCAGGATCTTGGGTACGCATGCACACGCACCCAGCATGAGCTTAAGACACTGGGTCTGGGACTTGAACTGTGGTCAACTACATGGGAGTCCAGCAACATAGCCAGCTAACTGCTGGTCCCACATGCAAAGTTTTTAAAGGAAGCATTTATGACTTAGGGGATTCCAGGATGTGACCAAACAGTAAAACTGTACTGCAAATGTATAAAATGTTAACACTGAATGGAGTAGAGCAAAAGATGTTGACCTACATAATTCTAGAAATGAGTGCAGTCTATGAGTCTAAAAGCAAACAGAACTGCATATAAACATTGCACTTTAATAAAATCATTTCCCGTAGTATTACGGTTTAATAATTCTGATATTGATAGGCATGTTTATTGGAGTTGAACGATGAGTACACTTGGTGTTCAGATCTTAGTTTCTAATATTCTTCAATAAAAGGAACCAAGGCTCCGGAGACAAATGGTTGATTCTATGACTGGAGCTGGAAGAATGAAGATTTAGTTTGAAAAATCTTGTAGTGTCAGAAAATAAGAAAGCACTCAAAATAATTATGATTATTACAGGCTTGCATCATAGCGACATAGGCGTCAGCTGAAGGAATTTCAATTGTTCCAAGTTTAGAACAAATTGAGTGATAAAATTAATGGAGGTCCAGCTGCACGGATGCAAGCATAGATTGCTACTGTATGAGATGGGTTCTCATAGTAGGCCTGAGTTTGGATCCTGCCCCAACTGAAAAAGGCCAGGCTCCTTTTGGCACACCTGTGGTCATAGCTAACTGGGAGACTGAGACAGAGGATCACAATCATGAGATCTTGTAAAAAATACCTCTCTCACTCTCTCCCCCTTCCTCTCCTTTCTCCTTTTCTTTCTCTCTCAATGAAAAATTATAAAATAATAAAATATAAAATAAAATAAAGAGTAGTTTTTGTTTCATAACCCTAAATAAAGAGTAAATATCTAATAATCCATTCTGATGACACATATTGAATCAATAAATAAGTAGGAAAAAAAAGATAAATCTCTTGTGTGGAAGAATTCCAAATGATTTGTGTAGATGCTTTGCTCTCAGGGAGGTGGAACATTGCTTGATTATTTAATCTGCATATAATGACTTTCTTCAAAAGAAAGGAAGGAAGGAATAACTTTACATTGGAGAAACCTGAGTACAGTCTTAGCCAGGTGACTAAGGTTAGCCTCAGTGGTATAATTCATATACACAGTATATTCTTTTGATATGATGTCATATGAATGACATTTCACCCTGTGTTCCTCCTCCCTTAAAACTGTCACCCAGTCTAGTCATGAGAAAGACAAGATGAAACTCAATTGAGGGGCATTCTGTAAGACACTTGACTAGTGCTCAAAACTTTCTTGATTATCAAAAACAAGGATGGTGGTCAGAAAGGTGGGAAAAACTAGAAGGGACAGAGTACAGACCGACTAATGTTAGTGATGAAGATTAGGAGGAAGAGGAAGACAGTGAGGAGGAAATGGAAGAGAAAATTGGGAAAAACAAAAGCATTTCATACTCAATCTGTTTCTAATACTATTGAGCCCAGAAGAACAAGGAGATTCCTATGAAGTTTGTGGACAGAGATAAGGAAGATGATGATGAACCTGATGCTGATTTCCTTAAGGCTAAGAGGCACAATGTGTTTGGGTTAGACCTCAAAGAGAATAAAGCATTACAGAAGAAAGAAACTTCTAAATCAGTGTCAAGAAAAAAGTGACCAAAGTTGCAGAAGCAAAAAAAATAATGGAGAGAAATTTTAAAGTGAATAAGAAAATAACATTTGCTGATGAAGGGGAATTGGTTCAGCACGAGACCAGCGAATGCAAAAATCCACCATGAATGATATGGAAGAACACGATGACATTGGCGGTATCAATTTAAATAAAGCAAAGGAAAGGCTTCACGAAGAGGACAAATTTGGCAAAGAAGAATACTGGAAGAAAATTAAGGCAAAGCATCGGGAAAAAAGATTGAAAGAAAGGGAGGCCAGGAGAGAAGCCAATAAGAGACAGTCAAAGACCAAAGATGAAGAAGAATCCTTTCTGTATTGGTGTGATGATGGTGGATTTGATCCAAGCACACTTCCAGATCCAGATAAGTACCGAAGCGCTGAAGAATCAGCTAGTGAAGATATGGAAAATAAAATAAGTGATACCAAGATGAAGCAGGGAACGGGGAAAAGAAATAAGAGCAAAGTGGAAGACGTGGTACCAATGAGTCATAATAGAAAGAAGGCCAAGTGGGAAAGCCTAGAGCCTTTGGATTTAGGCTTGTCCTTAGCAGAGGCTGAAGAGCTGGTGTTACAGTTACTTAAAAATCAGAGCTAAATACCTCCTACATCTGCCTTCTCCTTAAAACCTCTGGTTATGACTGTGGATGAAAGAAAGAAGATGAAAGCCAACTGACTTTGGGGTACTTAGGTACCTTGAGTTCCATACACAAAGGACACCTTCTCTGGACAGAAACAACTAGATCTCTAAGACTCAGTCACAGGACTTGTTTTGTACCATCATGGAGCATACTCAGAGTGAAGGGAGATTTATAATTTCCTGATCCCATTTTCTGGCATGTGCTTTGTTAAGTTTTATCCTTGGGCTTCTACACTCATCACCAGAAATGCTTTCTTTGTTTTACTAGCAAGTTCTGGAGCTTTTGTTTTTATCATTAGAATTCCTGTCTTGCTTACTATACAGAAGTTTATATGTTACCATTAAACAAAATTGTTCATAATTTTAATGTATTTAATACCTCTACTGACACCAAAAGCAATGGACCAGCCCTTGGAAAGAATGAATATTTTTGAATTGAGATGAATAATAAACATATTTCCTATAAAAGTAAACAAACAAACAACTGAAAACAAACAAGGATGGTGGGAAGTGAAAAACTGTCATAGCCAAGAGACCTGATAAATAAATGTATTATGATATCCTGAATAGAATCTTGAAACAGAGAAAAGGCATTGGGTGGAAACTGGGGAACTCTAAGTGCAAACTTCAGTTAATAACAATGAATTAACCTTGGTTCCTAATTAGTAGAAGATATACCAAATTGAGACAGGATGTCTGCATGGGAGTCTGTTAGCAGGGCGTATAGGAACTCTCAGTGTTCTCTTTCCATATTTTTTGTTTGTTTGTTTGTTTTCATTGTTAAGATAAAGTTATTCTAGATTAAAAATTTATTTTTTAAAAAGAAAATAATGGGAAAGAGAACTTTAGGTAAATCTTGTCCACGTGTTATGGTATTTTGAAATTAGTCCTTCACTAATTTTTATCAGAGTCATAAAGCCTACTGAATAGGAACTTGCTGATTGGAAGACTTGTCTCATGAAAAGCATAACCCATTTTAAAAAGAGATGTGAGCAATATTTCGGCTTCATGGAGTTCTGCCATATTCATTCAGAGAGGGATGATCTATAAGCACAAATTACTGCCCTTTAAAAGAGAAAGTTTGCACATATACACACACTGGCTCAGCACAAGAAAGAGTATTTATATGCCACTAGCTCTCAATTTCCATCATCAGCCTTTTAGAACTTGCAGTTTTCCCGGTTTACTCCTTTCTTCTTTAAGAGATTCAATGTGGAACACAGCTCATATGTTGCAAGTTTAGCAAAGAATGATGGTCCTTCCATTTTTAGGAAAGGTGAACAATGTTTGCATAGTCACAGATAAATAGATTAGCATTAGTATTCTATTTCAGAGAAACTGCAGAAAAGTGGCTAATGCAGGGTTGTATGGTTCAAAAGAAACATGGTAAATTCAGTAACAATGAAAAGCTAATTCTATAATGAGATGAAGTATTTTTAGCTTGAGTTTTCAGTCACTCCTTACTTTAGGCAGGTAAACTCACTTTTTTTCTTCATAGAGAAAACAGATTTTTGAAGAGTAACTTTTAAATCCATTTTTTTTGCTACATAATACTGTTATGAAGATTAAATAAGGTTATACATATAAAGAAATTAGAACAGTATTGACAAACTATCAATATTATGTTATCGTTATTGATTATAATCCTTAACTATATTTATATTATAATTAGTATATAAAGTGGATATGTATGTATATTTGTAGGCATATAAAACTCCAGGCAAATACAGCAACTTTAATATCTAAAAGTAAAACTAACATGTTTCTCTCCAACTCTACTTCTCCAAATAACATCTTTACCTCAGTGAATTATGCCGTAATTCAAAATTCATAAGTCAATTAAGCACGTACTCTTATTTTACCTTCTAAATATCTCCTGATTTGATGATTTTTCAGAATCCTTTCTGTTACTATTTTTGTTTATGCTCTAGAGATGTCTCAAGTCCTGTTTCCAGTTCTTTCAGATCCATCATCCATGCACTGTAGACAAAGCCAACTTTCTAGAACACACCTTCTGATAATACGGATTTCCATTCTTTTTTACCTGGCTCCTGTTCACCTCTCCAGTCAAATGTCTTATTCCATCTATTTTATACCTGTTCTTCAATCCAATCTAAGTGTTTGTCATTTTCTATGTTTGTATCGTGTACATTCCTCTTCTAGAATGTTCTCTCAATGTCACTCCTTATGGCTGGCTCATTTCATTGTTCAGAACTCAGTTATGATATCATCTCCTCACAGAATCCTTCTTACCATCTCCAGACTGAGCTGACATCTGGTCCTTCTATTCTCCCACAGGCACTCTTTTGCTTATAGAAATCTTAGATCTAATCACAATTCAAATATCTGTTCTCAAGCTTTAGTGGACAACTGAATCACCTGTATTAAAATACAAACTGCTCAATCCACCCACCAGAGTTTTGAGTCAGTACTTCTGGGATGGGAGTCAAGAATTCTAATTTTTGGGACCAGTAGATAGCATGGTGGTTAAGGTGTTGGACTTCCACACGATAACTGTGGTTCGAGTCCCGGACCCAGTGACTTGAAAATCACACTGGGCACATGTATGTGCATGTCCCAAATGCTGAGAGGATAATGGAGAAGAAGGAATTGTGGTGTGGCCAACCTACCCAGGAGGAGTGATTTCTTACTTTTGCTTTCTCAGTCTCTTTCCCCCTCCAGTGAGTGCATATCTCCATGGTGAAATATCTTTAAAAAAAAAAATGAATCTTAATTGCTGGGCTGGCTGGTGGTGTGGTGGTTATGGCAACTGGAAACCACATGGTCTAGTGTGCGGTTTGAGTCTCAGACCCAGTGGCTTGAGAAACACACTGGATGCATGTGTGTGCATGCCCCAGATCCTAAAAGGAGAAAATGGAGGTTCAGAGATTGTGGTGTGACTATCACACACAGGGGCTTCTTTCTTTGTCTCTCTCTCTCCTGAGAGACATGCCATTTGGCAAATTAAAAAATAATAATAATTTGCCTTTTTAACAAATTCCCAGTTGATGCAAATGCTTTTTTTCTGGACTAACTTCTAAGGCTCCTGATACTGCTGGCTAAAGAAGTCTGAGTCCCAGAAGTTCAACCTGAATGAGGTATGATGTTTACTTAGCTTGGGCCTGGGTAGGATGAAAACAAGGTTGTGCAGGTGTGAAATTCAAAGAAAGCACTGAGTCTGAGCAGTCAGATAATTGCAATTCTGCTGCACATTAAAGGTGAGAGTTATTTTCCTTTGAAGCAAAGAAATAGTGTGGTCATCTCAGTATATCAGGTTGTTGGGAAAGTCATGTCTCATTTTTTGTGTTTTTCTATGCAAAAATGCATCATGACTTTCCTGATAACCCAATATAAAGACTTCTCACCATAACCATTATAAATTATTGTAATAATGCACTAAGTTAAAAACTATAATATATTCCATGGGTAATCTAGTAAAAAACAAACAAGCAAACAAACAAAAAACCCTTTGTTTTATATTTAAGAATATCTCCCTAGGACTCAATTTCTTTATTTCAGGGGAGTCATACTAAAAGTGGACATTTATTAGTGGTAAACCAGTTCAACCCCTAGGATGAAGAATTAGGAATTAGACACATTTTTGTGAAGGATTCTTGCAAAGGACTGCCCAGCAGGCAATTCTTGAAGGAATAATGGGGCATGCAAGTAGCTTAGGAGCCTCTCAAAGAGTGTGCAACAAAAATCAAGGTTTCCATGTTCCAAACATTCCAGTCTTCAAAAGAATGGCAAGGGCAAGGCAGAATCTAAATGCAACAACAGGAAGCTATTGTGGGATCATCAGGCAGATATGATTCAATCTGAGATATGTTACAGTGATATTGTGATTGGATATGAAAATATACATTTTGGTTTTTGCTCATTTCTTGAAATACAGATTCTAATGCCCTTGGAATCTCCATAGTATTAAGAGGGTTTTTTTTTGTTGTTTGTTTTTGTTTTTGTTTTTCCTTATGAGATGATAGCTGAGGGATCCACGATAGCCTCAGAGGAGAACTGGCTTCAGAGGTATAAACTGTGAGATCAAAGGGTTTAAACTCTGGCCCCTACTCCTACCTCCCAACCTCAGGGAAGAGTAGGGGGTTGAAGGTTGAATTCATCTTCAAAAGGTAATGATATAATCAACCACGCCTATGTAACGGTGCCACCTTTATAAAAACCCTAAGTAATGGTGTTTCCACGGCCTCTGCTCAGGTAAACACACGGAGGAATCTGCACCTGGAGAGGCTAGGGAAGTTCCCCACCTCTCACCCATGTCTCTCTCTGTGTATATCTTCCATCTACCTGTTTCTTAGTTGTGTCCCTTTACAATAAATGGGTAAATAGAAGTAAAGTGCTTTCCTGAGTTCTGTGAGCCATTCTAGCAAATGGTTAAACCCAAGGAGGGAGACATAGAAGCCCTCAAGTTATAGGTGATCCAAAGACCAAGACTTGTGATTGGCAGTTGAAGTGGGAGGCAGTGTCATAGGACTGACCCATTATCCTGTGGGATCTGATGCTATCTCCAGGTTCTTTGGTTCCCAAACTGAATAATTATAAGGTACCCAGTTAGCATTCATTGAAGAAGTGTTTGGTGTGTGGGAAAAGCCCCCACACATCTGATGTCAGAAATGTTTTATGTTTGAGTGCTGAGAGTATAGTAGAAAGAGGTTTTGTTGTGGCTTGTTTTTTCAACTATATGGTTACTTATCAGTTGTGTACCCTTCTATAAACTTCAATTTTCTCTTATGTAAAATGGGACAATTCGGCCAACTAGGTGGTGTGGTAGTTAAAGTGGCTGGATCTCACATGGCCAACTCTGAGGTTCTAGTCATGGACTTGGTGACTTGAAAAACACACCAGGTGTGTGTGTGCATACATACTCCAAATCCCGAAAGAATGGAGGAGAAGGGATTCCAGTGTGGTCATCTCCCTGGGGGAAGCTTTTTCACTTTCCCTCTCTCTCTCTTTTTGTCCTTTGCTCTCTGCAGCAAGTACACAAACCCTGGCTTTTTTTTTTTTTAAAATGGGAGCAATAATTAATACAGAGAAATCAAGAATGTTGAATCATAGATGAGGAATACAACAGGAATAATAGTTGATTAGAGTAGTTACCATCACTAAAAGGCAGAAAGTCAACATAAGGCCCTAGGCAAGCTAGGGCATAGGACCTTCATCATGTGTATGCAAGGAGAAATAACAAAATCCTTTATTATTTCAAAATGGAATTGGGTGGCCATAAGGAAACTGAACTTATGCACCCAAGAAACAGTCTGGCTAGGAATGTATACCTGGGTCAATTCATGCTTTCATGCTGGACTCCTAGAACAAGACATCTAGAGAAATTCAAGATATATGCTAAGATGTTGTCAGATTTCAAACTCTTGTAGACTCTTGTGTTATAAACATCCTTATCTCCTTTCTTTTGTATTTGTTCTTAGCTTTTTTGCCATAGGTTACGTATGCTCTCCAAAGAGAGACAGTGAGAAATAAGAAATCACCTCCCAGGGAGGATGGTCATGCTATAATCCCTTCTCCTCCATTCTCCTCTTGGGGTTGAAAATCACACATGCACCTGCTATGATTTTCAAGCCACCAGGTCTGAGTCTCAAACTGTAGTCAGTCATTCTATAATCTAGTATCTTAACTACTAAGTCACCTGCTGCTTCCGTTCTTGTCTCCTTTTATCTCTCTTGTAGTTCATGTAACTTACGTTGTGCTTTCATAACTTTTCCTACCTCAGCAGAAGTTTCACTTCAAAGTATCTTGTGGTGGGACCAGCAGGTGGCATGGTGGTTAAGGCACTAGACACTCCCACATGGTCAACTGGGGTTCAAGTCCTGAATCTGGTGACCTTGCTTTCTCACTTCCTTTCTCTCTCACTCTCACCCTCTGTCTCTCTCTGATCAAATTAAAAAATAAATGAATGAATAAATAAAAAAATAAAATAAATAATTATTTTAAAAGAAAGTATCTTGTGGTTATTTAAGGCTTTCTGCATATAAAAGGCTTTACCCTCTCTCTAGCTTTTGGAGTACTCTTGATTTTATTAGAGTCTCCTTCCTAGGGGGCAGCAGGTGGCATGGAGGTTAAGGTGGCTAGATCTCACATGGTTCACTGCATGATTTGCAACCTGGACCTGGCAACCTGAATAATGTGCTAAATATCTGTTTATACTTGCCCCAAATCCTAAAGGAGAATGGAGCAAAAGGAATTGCAGTGTGGCTATTGCTCATGGATGGAGGTGATTTCTCACTTTCTCTCTGTCTCTCTTGACCCAAATGCATGGACCCTATAACAAATGACCCAAATGCATGTAACTTATAACAAATGAAACAAAAAAAAATCTGTTTCCCAAGTTTCAACTTTTCTGAGACCCCAGATGAAGACTTTTTTTTTTTTTTATGGTCCCATGGTCTGGTTTTAAGGTAACCATATCTCAAAGAGACCCCACCCCCACCTACCCCATGGCTGATCACATGGTTCGAATCCTGGACCTTTGGACCTGCAGCTTGAGTAAAACATCAGCCATGTGTGTGTACATACTCTAAATCCTGACAGCGTAGAGAAATGGAGGAGAAGGAATTTTGGCATGACTATGTTTCATTGGGTGTGTTTTCTCTGTCTCTCTAGAGAATACATGTGCCCTCTCTATCTCTCTAGAGAATACATGTGCCCTCTGACACATGTCTTTTCTTTCTTCCTCTTCTTCTTCATTTCTTTTTATTGTTTGTGTTTTTAGGATCAGTCTTTAAAATTCTTTGACAAGTGCTACAACATAAGAGTTCATTATGAATCCAGAGAATCTGAGGTGGGCTACCCTAAAACTTGATTAAGAATAAGCACAGGGTCTTTCTGTCTCCTTTACACTGTTTCTCTCACTTTTGTTCTTCACATTTCTTTATCCATTACACAATCCTGCCAGGAATCAACAGAGTCAACATTTTTTCCAAAGAGACTTCTTTGATTCACCCAAGCTGGGGAACATGTATATTCTCCTG